ACACTTTTAGGTTCCAACATAATGTTAAAATAGAGACTATGTATGTGGGGGGAGTTTTATTTTTTAGGAATGAGATACTTGCTTTGAGGAACACCTAAATCTTCCAAAGGAGAGGAATTTATGGGTTTTTTATCAGAAGAAGCTAATTTCTTCAGGCCTTGCTCAGACTCGAAGAAAAAGTTAACATATACCAGTCAGAGTTTCTTTTTTTAAATAGAATGTATGCATAACCATGAAGTATATATAAATATGCAACAGGCTATTGCTTTTAAGGCTTATTCCTTTGTTCACAAAACATTTTTGGCAGCTTGGTGTCCAAAAACATCAGGACATCTAATTCTTTGCTTTTTGTTGTCTTGTAATTGTCCTAACTCTAAATTTTTCTTACTCTAATTGTATTACTATTTTTATAACCATTTTATTATTATTAAACTTTTAAAAATTCTAAAAAGAAGTGATTGGTGTTTTTCACACTCCCCATCTGTGTGGGAGCAGGCAAGGGTGATACCAGCCGGGATTCCAGGAGAGCACCAGCTGGGAATTTCCTTTCCCCATCCCTGCCAACAATTATTACCTCCACTGCTCACTTTTATTCGTGTTTAATTTCCCCGTGCTCTGTACAACAGGTCACAGAGAGGTAGATGCACTTTGTACTTTGTATGTGTGACATCTGAGACTGTCACCATGGAATGTCAGCTGACAGGAAAATACTTGTTTTTTTAGAAATTGGCTTTTATTTTTGTGACTGCTGTTGGAAATACAAGGAGACTGAGTGTAAACTCACAGACAAATATTTTAATACCTCAAAGGTGATGGGGGGCGCTTTTCAGATTTAAATGTTTTAAAATTTTCTGCAGGAAACAGTACTGCAGAAATCAGCTAGATCGTACAGTTTAAAAGCATTAAATCACCAAATTGTAGATTTCACAATCTGTATTTTAAATGTTACATTTAGATGTTACTCAGAAGAACACCCTAAATAAAGTTACAAAATACCATAATCCAAGGTTCTGATATAGCAAAAATAGGGAGCCTGTGTCTTCGTTAACAATGAATAAATATAACATTTAAATAGCTGCAACATACTTATCACATGCTTTAAATAAAAAATATAGATGTTTATATAGCTCTCAATATTTTAGAAGTCATTTAGTGCTACTGGAAGCTTCTAAATTACAAATTTAGAGGCAGAGGATAGAAAATGACAGCAAGGTGTTCCTGACATTCCCTAACAGAAGCCAGTTCAGACATCGTGTTTTTGGGCAAAAACAGCAAAACAAGTCACCAAATTTAGGACTGAGCTGAAGGGGAAGATTGAGGGATTGCACTCCACGGTATCCCCTAAAAACTGGGATGTGGTGGTGTCAGTCAGAGAGACCCAGACCCCAATACCCGCTCCCCCAGGTCACATTCTGAGGCTGCCAGGTTCAGCACAGTGTACCATACACAAAATAGAACAATTCACTAATGCCATTAATTATTTGTTTTCCTCAAGAGCCCCTCAATAGGAGGTTTGGAGCTGCAGTACACAGGCCACCACCAGGACAGGGATTTCAGACAGCTTCCCACTATTCTTTGGGCTTCAACACATACTCCTGGAACATGGAATACAGCACCCCTGCAAGACAGAAATAAAAAGCACAATTAAAGAACTGTGTTAAATTAGAAATAATGGGTTTCAAAACCTGAACAGTTCTCAGCAAGACAGAATTTCCCTACCTCCTCAGCTGCATTTTTTAAAATAAACACTACAAAATTCTTTCTACAGAGAGAAAACAGGTATGAAAATATACTATTTATGAAAATTGAGATCCTGAGCTAATTCTAGTTCCTTCTGTGGCCAAAGTCAAGCTTTTCTGTTGTTCCTGCTGGGAATGCAGTGTGGACAAACAGTGTTTCATGGGATGTACACTTACACATAAATGAGACCTGGGATGTACAGATCAGGGGCACAATGTCCCTGTACATTCAGACACTCAAGTCCAGTCCTGAAAAAATACATATACCTATAAATATATATTTTAAAAATATATAATACCATGGTCTACTGTAGGACTGAAGTAAACAAATTTCCCTTTGTCCCCTTAAAAAGGAAAAAAGCCCAGGAGTTCCTCTCCTCAATTTCGTTAAAAGACACCTCACAGGACCTTGGGGACTTCACCTCAAACTTAAATTGGACAAGAGCCAAAAAGTCCTGCCTAAGCAATTCCCTAGAAAAGAATAGAACAAAAGTAGTAAATCGCTTTTGTGAAGTGGTTTAGCAGGAGCAAGAACCTCTTGTCCTGACTCGGCTTTTCTCTGTAAAGAGCTTTTTTATTTTTGCCTTTTATTAAAACTTTTGTTTCCAACACTGTCACAAGAGCCATCCTGCTTCTTTTATGCCACCTGAGGTAGCTGAGCTATCAAGGGTATAATGCTTATCTCTGAGAGCCTATAAGACCAGGCTCAAGAAAACAAAGCATTAATCTACACAAGCTGAAGATCTTCCAATGCATTAAATTCAGAAACAGCAACATATTTACAAGGGAAAATATTAATGTCAGATGAATGTTTTCTTTTTTTGACCTGAAAGAGGCAGAGATGCAGAACCTCACGTTCCACATCTAGACATAATCAAAACTGCTGCTCTGAAATTATATACTTAAGTAGAATAGATAGAATCAGATCACTCCAGAAAGGCTGACTGAGCACCAGTAAGGAATCCAAACATCCTGGAATAAATGTTCTGGATGCTTCCAGCCAGCCATGCCAGCTCTGTTATCCACTGGAGAGGCACAGGAGGCTCTCCATGGTTTGCCACTGCCAGGGACAGCTCCCGTTCCATACGTACCACACGTCAGGGCTCCCACGGCGAAGCCCTGGGCTGCCACGCGCATGTGGATCAGGTGAAGGGACAACTTCATGTTACCTCTGTGCTTCAGCTTGTACAGCCCGTAGGCAACCACGGCGGTGAAGCCACCCATCCCTGCAAGGCAAGGAGAGCATCCCTCTGAGTGGAGATCCAGAGCACCGGGGACCCACCTAAACAAAACAGCCTGTGAACCACTGAGCTGTTCAGGTTGGAAAAGACCCTTTAGATCATTGAGTCCAACCATTCCCCCACAACTGCCAAGGCCACTGCTAAACCCTGTCCCCAAGTGTCACATCTATACAGGTTTTCAATCCCTACATGCATGGTGATTCCACCACTGCCCTGGGCAGCCCCTTCCTTGAAGAAATTTTTCCTAATATCCATTCTGCTCTACACCTCCCCTGGCACAACTTGAGGCCATTCTTTCTCATCCTAAAAT